ATAAATGAGGGTTCAGTCTCAAGGGACGCAAGGAAAGTAAGGATGGGAGTGTTACCTTCACTTCTGATCGTGTACTCCGGCGTGCTAGATGAGGTCGAGGCACCGTGTGGTTCCACTATGGTAGGTTGTCCAGTTGAGCTCATTTTCGGTATGGAGATGGACCTGACGGTTGGGGTCATCACCCTACCTGCAAACCTTTCATTAGCCGATCGCGTAGAACATTCCTCTCACCATGCGGTACATGCGTACTTTTTTTTTCCTTGCCAATTTTCTGTTGACGCTTCTTTGCCACCATACCACCCTTGCAAGCTCGCTCTCCCCTCCCAGGCGTTGCTCTGGACTCATGACTCTGCTCGTCCACTCCATTATCCGCTATTGCTACCGGATCACTGGTTTGCTGGTCGGCATTTTGTAGGCACACATTGATTTCGCTGCGGTCGCCATGTACAGCACCATCACCGAAGGTTCTGCTTAGGTATGCACCTACAACACTATACATCATTATTTATATCTCATGTGATTACATGATGGAAGATGATGGTTGATAGGATATGTACCATCGGTTTCGGTGTTGCAAATGTATGTGGGGGCCGCATTGAGACCGTAGGAGCATGATATATTAGTTCAATTTCGAATTGTTGCGTGAGGGCTGAAAGTGTGAGAGTCGGACAATGTGTGTGAGGGTTGGACAATGTGCTAGTTAGATCTGGACGTGGCATTGCGATCGATTCAGCACACGGAGTGTTTTTCTTTGCAGCATACTTTGCCTTTCTCTTTGCACTTGACTCCCCCCTTTCATCCTCAGTCATGGTTTTAGGGTGTTGCACGCGCCATTCTTGCAACTTCTGATTTTTTTCTCGAAGATCGATCACTCCGTCACCCACTTTTTTCCGATAACTTGCTCGCCTCCGCGCGTTTCTCTGCTCAATTTGCTCGTCTGTTAAGTCACCCTTGTGTTCTTTATCAGGCTGTTTTTCATCTAGTTTCTTGCTGGCTGCCTCCTCTTTTTTCTTTCGATAAGCAGCTCTCCTCCGAGCCTTCATTTGCTCTTTTTTCTCGTCAAGGTCCACCGAGATTGGTTGACACCCATTAGTGATATCGCCGAGAGGTAGCAGGGTCACATTTTGCATATCTGCATGAAGGGTTTAGGGTCTTCATTGTTCAAGAAGATTTCATGTACTACACAAACGCTTAATTTATATATCTGCACGGTCAGGTTAAACAATGATGTATAGCTGGATGTAGTTGGGTTGGTATCATCAAGAGGTAACAGGGGAACATTTTGCATATCTGTCCGGAGGGTTTAGGTCTTCATTGTTCACCGAGAGGTAACAGGGCTGGTTGAAGCTACTTATTTATCTAGGGTTTATTTTTTATAGAATCCCTCCGTGTCCATACATAAAGTCTGTATGTATTCTAAAGTCCCATGTCTGCCATATATCGAATTGAACCTAAATGATCAGGAATTGTATGATAACACAATGGTCAACTATTGGTCAATTATTTTTATTCACTTTCTTGGTCAATTATTCGTGGGGTTGGGGTCTCGGAAACATATGTCACCTACATTATTCACTAAGAAAGTATACATACGGTAATCATATTGCTGAAACATAAACATCCATACCTGATATCGTAATGGCTGTCAGATTTTCATCTTTTTGCTTGTTGTCTGCCTCCTCTTTTTTCTTTCGATAAGCAGCTCTTCTCCGAGACTTTAGTTGCTCTTTTTTATCGTCATCGTCCACCGTGGTTGGTTGACACACATTAGTGATATCACCGAGAGGTAACCCACCCACATACCGCATATCTGCATGTGAAATGATCTTAACATTACACTCTGGAATGGAGTTAGTATATATAATATCATCGCAGTGCCTTCCCATAAAGCATTCTTACCTGATATCGTAAGGGCAGACAGATTTTCATCTTGTTGCTTGACGGTAGCCTCCTCTTTTTTCTTTCTATAAGCAGCTCGCCTCCGAGCTTTTTTCAACTCTCTTTTTTCGTCAAGGTCCACAGAGGATGGTTGATCTGCATTATTGATATCACTTTGAGGATGGCGTGGAACATTATGCGGCCTCTCTTCCCAACTGTCATGTTGCATGCTAGCATAACAATATATTGGACCGAAACAAGGCAAAGTTGTACGCACATGGTCTTAACCTTTCGGCAACATAATACTTACCCGAAATCAGATGGGAAGGTTGATAATCATATGTACTTTCACAATCGGCCTGTTCAAGTATCATCCTGTCCGAGTGAATAATATGGACTCCTACAAGTCACACGCTTGATCTTTTAGAATCGGTTCTGCCCAAGTCTGTTATGTATGATTTATCACATAAAAAGCATAAAAGCAATCTCAGTATATATGCACAGCCTTAATACCTGGACTACTTGGGTAATTCTTGTGAACATCGTCGGCTCCAGGTATAACCCCTTCATTAGAATCGTCACCAAGATGTCCCTCCATCGGGCCTGCAACATCTCCTGTGATGGTGTTTGACATGTATAACAAAATATGTAGCTGAACACATACAAGGAGGTAGTTATATACCATGAGTATCATATGTGCTATCACCATCGGTCTCAAGTATCATCCGTTCGGAGGGAGTAATATGGACTCCTAGAAATAAAGATGTTGATACATTAGAATCGGTTGTGCCCAAGTCTTTTAGGTATGATTTTCCAACTAAGAAGGATAAAAGTAAACCTTATACCTGGACTACGTGGGTAAATTTTGTCAACATCATCGGCTACGGGTATAATCCCTTCGTTAGAGTCGTCAACACTTGTCCCCTCCATCGGGCCTGTAACACATATGTAGTTGAACATATATATGTTTGACTTGTGTAGCACAATTTATAGGTGAACATATACCTGGAGGTACATGTGATGAAGTCGTCTGTTCCGCTGGCTTGCTGTGTGGAGTCCCCATATGTAACTATTAAAAAAAGACACGTCCAACAGACTCAGGTATCACGCAAAAACTTGTAAACTGACTCTGCAAGCAGATCACGTGAAATACCAACAGTACTAAAGGCCCTTTCCCACTGTACAGAAATTCAGTCCATAAGGGCAGGTTGTTACAGATTTATTAGTCTTGCTATATATATGAAAATAGAAAGACATGTCGAACAGACCTTGCTACTTTGCATTTTTCTTTATTTTTTTAGGCCACGAAATGTAGTTTTTCTGCAAAGCTATAGTAATTTTGAACCATGTCTTCAGGTTGTTTGCTGCTGGATACTAAACTACTGTTGTTTGTTTACAGTGCATCTTCTGTGTTATTTACAGTGCAACAAGAACTGTAATTCTAATGCAAAACTACAGTAATTTTGAACCATAGTTTTCAAGTTGTTTGCTGCTCCATACTAAACTACTGTTGTGTTTTTATAGTGCATCTTCTTTATTATTTACAGAGCAATAAGAACTGTAATTATCCTGCAAGGCTATAGTAATTTTGATCTTTGCCTTTTAAGTTGTTTGCTGCTCCCAGTTTTACAGTGAGCTTACTGGGTTTTTAATGTGTATGTGTCACAGTAAATAGCTTTGATGCATGTATCTATCTCAGGTAACACTCATGTTGTTTTTCCCTTTTTACAGTTAGCTAAAGGCTTTGTACTATGCGGGTGTCACTGGGAATAGCTTGATGCATGTTTGTATGTTTTTCGGTCAAAAGGATTTCACAATCCAACAGAGAAATACCCATGGCTCTTCTTTTTGCTTGTTCTGTCAGATTTCTTACTGTTGAACCTTAGCAATGCTAGAGAGGATTTTTTGACAGAACTACTACTCATGTGATCTTTCAGCCCTTGTTCCTCTAGAGAACTTTTGAGTAGTGGTGGGATCTGACAATCAGAGCTCTCCTGTGACCACAGAGTGATGCTAGAGACACTTGTATGGATGATTTGCAGTGCTAATATAATTGTAACTTTTGCACATAAATTGACTGTAGCGGCCGGCGGCGGAGGTGGAAAATGAAGTGCAGTTTTAGTTTGAACACGAGTCCATCAGGACCTTCATGATCTGTACATGTAAACATACTTGGGGTTGAAACCGTACAGCGTCGCTGATCGCACGTTCCGCGCGGCGGCGCGCGATCTAGAAACTGCCAGCGATCCAGAAACGTGGCGGCGGCGCGCGACCCAGAAACTGCCAGCGATCCAGAAACGTGGCGGCGGCCCTGTCGAGTCGTTCCGCGGCGGCGGCGCTGTGGAGTGCGCAGATCAATTCTGCCGCGGGTATGGGGATCAGCGGCGGGGTATGGGGTATGGGGATCGGCGGCAGGGCGCTGTTGATGGGGTTCGGTGGGTGGGCGTGGGGTGGGGGTAATTTGATGGGACAAAACCGGTTGAAAATAAACCGGTTGAAATTAAACCGGTTGAAAGTTGGGGGGACTATTCAACCAATTCGTCCATTAGGAGTAGAAGATTCTGCAGGGACACTGGCCTGAAGTTCTCAGGTTTCGAAGCATCCGATTTTTTGGGCAGGGGCACACTATGTGCAGAGTTTAGTCGTTTGAGGTCTGCGGTTCAGTTGCTCATTCAGTCGAAAGAAGCCTATTTTTCACCCCTCAACATGTAAGCTTTCAAGGAGTTTCGGTTGCTCATTCAGGATGTTGACGACTATCTTTTGACGGCGGTGCATAGACAATGTGTGAGTGTCGGCAACCGGCCGCTGCTTCACCTTCACTCGTTGACTTCAACTGCCATCTTCCAAGACATGCTAAACAATTTGTCCTGCCTGGATGCAGCAGCACGAACAAACCATCTGACCGACTAAATACTTCAGCACGCTTGGCTCAGCCATCACCACAACTTGACTGCCTACATCCTCCTATTACATGTCTACTAAGTGGAATAGCCTGAAAGTGAACCTCAAACCTACAACTTCTCGCCAACTCAACCTCAAACCGGCCTGAAACCGAAATCTACAAGTATTTTCAGAGCTACTCTACTCGCCCAAGGTCGTGCGGTGACTGCTGGCTCGAGTTCCTAGATGATCTTGCTCATGGGCCTGAGCTCCGTGGGCAGGTGGTCGAAGTTGCCCGAGTCCACGTCCGCCTGGAACATGGGCCGCTGCCCGAACTCGCGCAGGGCGGCCGGCGCCAGGTGCTCCTTGTTCGTCGACATCATCACGTAGTTGGGGTCTGCCCGCTCATAGCTGCATTTTTTTCACAACAACAAAGCATAGCATCCTCAAGTCAGTCAGTCAGTAGCCGGCGATACATACACCGCATCGCATTGCTGAAAGGCAGTCACAAGAAAGAAAGCCTCGGACAGAGACGTCGCAATCACCCCACAGAGGAAGGAAATGGCGGTACCTGGGCTGCCTGAGATCCTCGACGCGGATTCCAAAGCCGTACGACGTCGTCCCCCTCGAGTGGTCGTTCTCCGCTGCAAATGTAGCAGCAAGAGTCAGCTCAAAGTTGTATCAAGTCCTCCGTCGATAATTCGAAACCACTTTTCCATTTTTATGTTTTGCGGATTCAGTTTGTCTACGTCATCACGATGTATACACCGGCGCACAGAATCATTTTTTTATGTTTTGTGGATTCAGTTTCTCTACTTCATCAGAATGCATACATCGACACACAAAACGGTAGTGTGGATTTGGTTGTTCTGAATACGAGCCATTTTGCTTCAGGAAATACGTGCTGCTGTCCGCTCTTGTTCCCACGCAGAAGTATAAAGACAAGGTCGCGCACCTGTGACGCTAAATGTGAAGGATGGTCTCCACCATGACTTGAATGCCAGAGCTACGGACGACTTGGAAGGACCCAGCTTTCCCTGTTGAGAAGAACAGAGCAACGGTGGTCAGAAGCAAATGAGTCCATAAAAGAATTGCTTACAGGTCCCATTGATGTGTGGGTCTACTTAACCTTCAGCAGGAAGTTCTTGTTAGCTTGCCAGCTTGCACCTAACTGAAACAAGGAGTTGCTGCCATTCTCTGCTGGTTTACTTTTATCAATCCTGATAACAGTGAACAGGGAGTTAGTAGGCTGATTTCATGAAAAGAAACAAAGTTATGTTTATTCCAATGTAAGGCTTACCCTGTAGCCAACTCAAACCCCAAGTCTATGTAGTTTGTGATCCCAACAACCTGATCATCTTCAAAAGGGTTTTTTATCTGATGGATACAGGTAGCATAGAATCTCAACAAGCTTGGATACCAATAACTCTTTTCAAATAAGCGAAATAAAAAATCAAAGAGAAGTGTCCTTACTCTTCTTTGAACAACCAGGTGCTGATAGAATGATGCAATAAGCTGCAAATCAAAGAAAACAAAATTTCATTGACCATGAGAATCAGTGAAGGCAAACATAGTTAGTGTTAAAGATATCAAGGTTTTCTTTAACTACCACAATAATAATAAGTTAGTTTATGTAGTTTTTTTAATGAAGTACATCATTGCTCCCTAACCGAAGGAAAATAAGATAAACATACGTATCAGACCAGCTGTTTCATGGTATGCTTCTATGTGATCAATGATAGAATTCTTTGACGCCTAGGTGAAAAACATTTTTTTCACAAAGAAACATGTAGATTCAAGCAGCATCTACTCCCTATATTTCCAAATTCTAAATACTAGTCCAACTCTAACTATCTGGTGTGCAACTCTTAACTATAGTAGGTGTTGAAGCTTGTTCCCTTGGTGATGTGTCATGGGGAGGTACCCATGCATATATGAATTCCTCTGTGCAAACTCACAGTTGCCTACATCTACATATATTCAGATATAACAACATGTAATGTTTTTCGACCAGCAATTTTTCCTTTAGAAAAGGAGGCATCCAAACATGTCTTGTTTATAGCCTTGTCAAAACTATCCTAGCAATTGCAAGTGAACTTTCCAATCAAAGAAACAGCAAAAACTTGAACAAACCTGTGTATTTCTTGCAAGCTCTAGGGAAAAATTGAATGAAGGGCTGAGAGGGCTTGTTGAGGCCACACCATAACCGATTGCATAATTCCAGTTCTTTGGGTCCGTGTATGGCATAGGATGTTTGTTTCCCCCTATTGCAGAATGGTCACAAGAGCAATAAATCTAACAACTCGGAAAATCTCATAAAGTGTGAATAAGCAACTGAATGTCCACATCTGCTTGACTACGTGCATGGAGAAGACAAACCAACAGCCATTAAAGCAGATACCGATTGTACATGCCATAACATGACAAAAATTACATTTCAGCCAATATTAGAACAAGGGGACAAAAAACGTTGGGAAATAAAATAGGAATAGAAATATTCAGAATTGTGATGTACTTCCATTCTTTGTGATTTCGTGAAAACAGAAGCTACATGTACTCCCTCCGTTCCTAAATATAAGTCTTTGTAGAGATTTCATTGGGACTACATACGGAGCAAAATGAGTGAATCTACACTCTAAAATGCATCTATATACATCCGTATGTGGTCCACAGGAAAATCTCTACAAAAAGGACAGACCCAGTGCATAGAAGCTCCCACACAAGGTGGGGTCTGGGGAGGGATTATAGGAACCTAGTCTTACCCCTGCAAAGTGCAATGCAGAGAGGCTGGTTCGAACCCAGGACCTCTTGGCACAAGTGGGGAGGACTTCACCACTGCGCCAGGCCCGCCCTCACAGGAAAATCTCTACAAAGACTTATATTTAGGAACGGAAGGAGTACATGCTAATAGGCCTTGATAATAAAACATGCATCCTTTGGTGGCGAAGAAAACGAAGCAAAATGCAAATCATCAAAATGATAACTAGAGGGAAACATACATGCATCTATACACAAGAGAATTTTAACAGATGAACAACCAGTGGTGCAACTGTTTACCGTGCTGCTATGCTCCAGTTCAAGCAGAACCCCAGAACCATCATCGAATGTAATGCAACTCAGCAGGATACAGTGATTTTTTAATTCCATCTTCTACCTATCTAAAATTAAAAAACAAATCTTCTACCTATCTACTAAGGTGTTGAAATTTTACAGGTTGATGAACTGGCACCGCTATTTGTTGAGGATTTTGCTAACAATAATAAGTTACCATTCAGAGAATAACACTCACTAAGTGGCTTATATTGCGCTCCTGCACATAAACTCCCTTTTCTCCCAACCAACCATGCTCCATATGGCACCTCAGCAGATTCTGCAAACATAAGTAGTGTCAGCAAGTATTATTGCTTTCAGAAAGTACATAATCTTTAAATGGATCCAAATTAAGTGGGTTTTCTACTTCGTTATGTATAATCTTTAAACACAATTCAGAAAGTACATAAGACATAAATGACACATACCAGGCAATGGCACAAAGGACGCCCCAATTGATAGATTCTCTGAACCATATCTCACACCCAGGACAGCATAGTCCTCAGAAGACAGCCTGAAAAACATAATTCCCTCACTGTGATGGTTTCCAACTATATCAACTGAAACTGATAATGAAAACGTCTAACATAGTTTGCCCAAAAAAAACATCTAACATCATATTGGGGAACATTTCTCAAAATAGCAAAGGTTTCCCTGATTTGCAACAGCAACTAGATATGTAGTTTACCTGTTTCCCATTAGCAAAGGGATTGTCCCAAATGCACCAAGACGATACTCAGGGAAGTAAGCACATGACCTCAGCTTCAGCATGCTGGATAAACAAAAACAAGTATGAGCCAAAATAGCATCATCTATGCAATTTTCAAAATGAGTAATAATGAATGCAGTAACGGTATTATCCAACCAACAGGAAAGCACATACGGTTCTGAAGTCGACACTTGAACGTCCACAAAGGTATGGGGATCGTACAAATATCTAAAAAGAAGACAGTAAAGCATTTCTTGTGTCAGAATAGAACAAAGAATGCATAAATGCAGAGTGCTGGTAAATTATGGAATATGTACTTCTGCCAGCGAAAAAGAGCGTCTCCTTTTACTTCTGTTCCACTAGCTTTATCTCCAGCTGCAGATACCTGGTGATATTAAGGTAGGCAAAGACTTCGCCAGCAATAACTAGGTGTCAATCGACAGTGTACTGCATTGGTATAAAACATCTTGCCACTTCAACTGCAAGACCTATAATCATTCTACAAGTCAAGAATACAGGGGTATGGGCACAGCTTTATAAACATGCGCATCAGCTGAAAATACTTTCCAGCAGCAAGGTGGTATGAAGCACTGTTGGCAATCTTAAATTTGTTGCTTGTGCATAGTGTAGATGAGGCTACCCAGTGGAGATTGGTGGGAATGCAGTTTTATTGCAATTGACAGAACAAGCAAAAAATGTTATCATCATGAAGCAATTGAGAAGTTACAGGAAGGAACCATTTGAAGATCCACTGATCCTCATGCCTACCTAACTTGGACAGATGCAGCAGAATAGAAAACAATGTGGCAATGATAATTCATGCTTCAGAGGATACGATGGCGACCAGATCGACGTGGGGATCTTCCAGCGGCTTGAGCATGATCCTGGAGGATATGGTCCCCGCGTTATCGAAGTAGTCCTCAAACAGATTGCGCAGCGGGAGCTTCCCGAACATGAGCTCATACGCCGGCACCGACATCCTGCGTGGCCAAAGACAAAAGAAAAGAAAAAACACTTCAGTAAATCGCAATGGAGGATCAATTGCCGCTTCCATGTGCTCAGAGGCGTGCTGTCAGAATTTTAGAATCACCACTGTATACCCGCCCAATGGCCCTCATCGATTAGCAGGTGTCAGTCAGTGGCATCGTAGAAAGAAATCGCATGTCTATCGCGTCGTCCGCGAATGTATATTGTATGAACGACGAGGCGTCGCTAATCACGGTCATTAGTGGATGGATTAGTACGCAGATTAGGAACCCTTGTTCCCTGATGAAACCGCAGTGCGCAACCTGACTGACACTTGGAGTCAGGCCCGCGGCCGCTGCTACGGACCGACTGGAGCGAGGGGGTTCGGAGCGGATTCGACGCGCAGGGGAGGGGAGGGGAGGGGAGGG